TAAAGATTTTAAAAACTTTTGCACAGTCGCAAGATGACAAACTGATGTGCTGAGATTGGCACATTGAGGACAGTAAGCAGACATTTCTTAAAAGAATTTATGGCACTGGTTGGAAAAGGCACGCTTGTCTATTTTACATCTTTTATTCCCTCTTACATATGATATTTAGAATTCTGCAGAACTCTTCTTTTTGACTATAAAAGAAATCCATGAATTCTAAGGAGGGAAAGCGGTGAGAAGGAGAAAAATAATAGGAAATTCTGTTTCTTTCATTTAGTGTCTTGACACAAAAAGAGATACTCCATATGTGAGTGGTTTAAGGATAGTTTTCCACTTTAATCTTGTTCTTACCCTATCTAACATAGCATTGTGGAAAAGCACATTGCTTCTATTTGAATAGCACTAAAGGACATTAGACTTATTACATGGCTCAGAGTCCTATTTATCCCCTTTCCCCCAGGCCCCATTGCCTCTGCACTTTCCCCACTACCCTTGTGCACCAGAGCATGGAATGACTTCTGGAAAGTACTCCTGTATCAGATGTGACTTTAATCTCTTCTGCCTTTTAAGTTGGAAGCTGGTAGGTAGAGCTTGGAAATTGCTGGAACACAGGCTTTTCACTTTTGAAGTTTCTTCTCCTTCCCCTTAGGATGTCAGAACAGAATATCTTGTATCTTGTCTGACTATCATATAGACCTGACAGTCCATCAGAATCAGTTACCTGAGATTCATTACTCAAACTGTCCTCCTGGCCAAGCTTTCCAAAAAGGTAGAGTTTGTATGGCTAGGGAGGGCGTGGTACAGAGACTCCTCCCCATGTGATGGGGCAGAGAGAGAGCTCATGTGCCTGTGGAGGCTTCAGATCCACAGGCGTGTGGGTGGAGCAGTGAATGGTGAGTGGGACAACAGGGAGCCAGGATCCTCCATTTATTCATTTTTCCTTCATTCAACAAATATTTTATTGAGCACCTACTATATGCCAGACATTATTTCTTGATGCCAAAGAGCAGTAGTCACACAACAAACCAACAAAATTCCCGTGACATGGAGCTTGCTCTCTAGCGGGGGAGACAGATGAGAAACACAATAAATAAACATGTTACATAGCTTGTTATACAGTGATGGATGCTAAGGAGAAAAATAAAGAAGGAAAGGGAGATGGAGAGTATATAAGCATATACATGCATGTGTGTGTGGATTGTTGAAATTTTACATAGGATGACTGGGGAAGGACTTACTGAGAAGACATTTTTTTGGGTAAAGACCTAGAGGAAGCGAGTAAGGGTGAGTAGTATGAGATGAGACTGGAGGGGATGCAAAAGGTGTCAGATCACTTAGGGTCTTGTAGATAAGGACTTTGATTTTCACTCAGAGAAAGATAGTAGCCATTGAAAGGTTTTGAATGGAGGAGTGGCCTGATCTCCCATTTTAAGTGGACTGTGTTGAGAATAAACTGAAGGGGGAAAGAGCAGAAGCAGGGAGATGAGTTAGGAGACCAGTGCAACAATCCAGCTGAATTCATCAGAGAAATGAGTAGCAGTTTATAGGCTGTTTATGGTCTGTAATATATCCTTTACAAGCTGAGTGCTGACTGCCAGAGCCAAGAATTGCCTAAGCACTTCATTGTTTACCCAGAATCAGGCTGGCACAGAGAAGCAGGTGGAAAATCATTCCAAGTACAAGTGCATAAAACGGCGAGTTGCCCTGCTCCTTGGCACAGATCTCCCATAAAAGATTCTTGTATTTACATTGCTGGAGGCTTGTGGTTCCTTCCTACAACTGCTTTAGAAGAACCACAGAGTCTACATTCCCCTTTTCACTTTCTTCCTAAAACAGCAACTCACCTATTACATTTATTTAGGAGTTTTGCCTGATCTAACAATTAAAGTTTGCAGAACATTAAAAAGCCCTCTCATATACTGAATTGGATCCTGGAACAGAAAAAAGACAGTAAAATAACTGGTGGAACAGGTAATGTAGTAAACATAAAATGGTAACCTTATAAGAAGCTAGGTAAAGAGTATATACAAACTTTATATACTATCTTTGCAATGTTTTCGTAAATTTAATATTATTACAAAATAAAAAGTTTACTAAAACAAAAATCTCTCTGAAAGGGAAAAGAAATCATGCAAGTTTGAAAATTTTGAAAGATTTTTTTTTTTAGAGATTAAGTTGTCCAGAAATATATCCTTCATTTTTAGTAATTTTTTATCCACTATTAAGAAATAGATTGTTATTTTCTATATATGGTTAGGACATAGTCTCCCTTTTTTCATAATTTCATTTAGATGCAGCTGCATTTGAAATCCTTCACTGTCCTCCTGCATTAAAGGCACGTTTCACTTATACTCCCAGGGGCTGAGGAAACAGACACTTTTCAAAACTGTTTACCAGTCCAAACCCTTGTCTCTTGTTGGTTTCCTTTCTTTTTGCCTTCCACCAATGTTTTATGTCTTCATTCTCTCTGTGCACCACATCTTCACTGAACAAATGCGACTGGCCCTTGAACTACACCCCTATTTTCTTCCTTCTTAAGCCTAAATATGATCTATACTTGTTTATTGTGTTGGGGAAAGAAAATTGCCATCTTGTTAACAACAACAACACCAAAAAACCCAACTTGGATCTTCTTTATGTCTAATTATTTAAACCAGGAATGATGAATGCTCATGTCCCCAGGGATCAGGTGAGGTGTGTGTGTCCTCAGGCAGTCGAGAGCAGTAGATAAAAACACACTGGCATAACCTCCCAGGTCTAAGATAGTTCTTATTGTGATTATTTCTGAGAGGCTGTATCTTTTCTAGAACTTCAATGGAAACTTCTAATCTGTTTCCAGACAAGGCACTTTATAAATACAAATTGTAGTTTAGTCAGGTAATGTTGAAAAATGTGACCAGTCTTAGTTTGAAGTCGTAACCAGGTAGGAACAAAAATTTATATTTCCTTGTATCTTTTCTAGAACTTCAATGGAAACTTCTAATCTGTTTCCAGACAAGGCACTTTATAAATACAAATTGTAGTTTAGTCAGGTAATGTGGAAAAATGTGACCAGTCTTAGTTTGAAGTCGTAACCAGGTAGGAACAAAAATTTATATTTCNGTTGGAAGATATAGGAATTTGTTGCCCCAATAAGTGGTGAGTTTCTTCCAAAAGGTTTTTGGTTAAGGTCCTGTTTGCCATCTTTCTATGTTGACTTAAATGCACTCCTGTCTAGTAGAAACACACTGGCATAACCTCCCAGGTCTAAGATAGTTCCTATTGTTATTATTTCTGAGAGGCTGTATCTTTTCTAGAACTTCAATGGAAACTTCTAATCTGTTTCCAGACAAGGCACTTTATAAATACAAATTGTAGTTTAGTCAGGTAATGTGGAAAAATGTGACCAGTCTTAGTTTGAAGTCGTAACCAGGTAGGAACAAAAATTTATATTTCCACACAAGGAGGAGAAGAGATCGAAGAGATTTTAACCTGGCAGTGAATCCCACAATGATACTGTGGGGTCTTCAAGTGCATTTCTACTAGACAGGAGTGCATTTAAGTCAACATAGAAAGATGGCAAACAGGACCTTAACCAAAAACCTTTTGGAAGAAACTCACCACTTATTGGGGCAACAAATTCCTATATCTTCCAACGTATTAGGCTAAGAAAATTCTTTCTAGTGTCTACTTTAAATTTCCACTACTGTAAATTAAGCCCATGGTAGATAGCTAAAACTAATATAAGCAGACTATTATTACTAATATTCCAGGGAAGTTTTAATGAAATGTTTGAGATGCAAAGGATGAAACTGAATTGCTAGCTGACTTAAACAGACAACGTCAGGATGACACACACATACAAAAAACATGAGAGAGGAAGTGTGTAGTGACGGCCTCTCTCTCCTTCATGCCTGAGTATCCCAGGTCAAGGCTGAGAACCACATTTTCTTGGACCTCCTTAGCAAAACGTACAACACACCTCTGACTTGTAGAGCACACTTTCTATAGGCTGCTGGGACAGCTCACCTGAGAACACTGGTCTCTCCTACTATCCCCTGGGGAAACTTATTTTTCAGAGCTCTGCAGTCAGACATGAAATAGGCAGTGAAATCTTCTCTCCCACACTACAAAACCAATGACCATGATGAAAAATCTCCTCCACAAGGCATGACAGTCAAATCTTGGCTTCTGAAAAGCTGGAAAATTGGGATGGTGCTAGCATCCAGCCTAGCCTGCACTTGCCCCTGATATCCTCTACTAAAAGCAGGTTAAATTGCTCGGATAAATGTACCCTATCCAATTTTAGTTCTTGCTTTAGCATAATCTTTTCTACAGGGAAAAGGCTATAGTAACAGTATTGAATGGACCTAAATCTGGTGCAATAGTTCTTTTTATGCCAAAAGACAGATATTTTAAATTTGGGAACTGGGACTATTCAGCTCTTTCCATTTTAGATCGTGAAGTGAGATCAAATAGAAGCATTCAGAGGTGGAAAGGTTAGTACTTATTTAAGGAACTGATGTGGCTCCCACATGTCCCACAGTTCTGTGTATTATGCAAATTAACTTCTTCATGATTCTGCATAGCACAGCCTGGTTAGGAAAACAGCCAAGCCCCTCCATAGCACTGTCCTTGCATATACAAATAACAACAGGGCTGCACATGGACATTAGGTCACTCTTATTTACACCGTAGCATGACAGATATTTTCATTCTCTACACGCTCTTCTGGTAATCTCACTAATCCTAAATAAAAATATTTTCCTGGTGTATTAAAAACATCCCTTTAGGGAGTCAACCTCAGCCAGTATTTCTGGGCTGGGCTGTCAAGGCTGAAGACAGAGTCTTCATCCCTAGTAATTTCTAAAAAGAGGTTGGACATTCATTTATCTGAGATGACTTAAATTAATCTTGCTTGGCTGCAAGGGAAAAGAGTGAAGGTTTTAGCAGTCCCTCCCACCACCTGAAGCTACGAGAGGTGGACATAGGTAAGAGGGTTTCATGCAACCTCTCCTCACCTCCCCCCAGGCAGCAGGTGGGGGCTCCACTGGAGGGTAGTACTTAGGCACATCCCAGGCCACTGCAGCCATGAACCATTTGAAGTCCTTGCACTTGAGCTGCTTGCGCAGCTCCTTCTGGGCGGAGATGTCCCCTGTGGAGAGGTGCCTGTATTCGGGCCGTCGCTGATAAATGTATTCGGCAAATTCATCCATCCAGGTCTCAGCAACCCGCTTCAGGTTCTGTGCGGCAGAAAAAAAAAAAGTCTTTTATTGGCTTTGTGCTCAAAGGGTGGTTTTAGATGCACCACAAATTGAGAAAAGAAAAGTAAAAGAAATCAGGCAACCTCAAGCAGCTCTGGTTGGTGGCTTATTAACAATGAGTCTTCCTAACTGCAAGGAGTGTGATATGATTAGCCTGCGGCTTCCCACACACTTCTGCTTCTGGCATGGGGTTCAGTCGCCAGTTTGGTAATTAATTTATCAGAGTCAGTAAAGATTCAGCTCACAATTATATCAACTCTCTCATCCTTCCTGTTATTTCATGATTATATATTTTTTATTTTTTACACAGAACTATAAAGTAGTTGAAACTGGAGAGAATGAAGTTCCTCTTAGGCAGCAAATTGCTTAAAGCATTTCAAGAAACAGGGATCTTGGAAGGAATGAAGACAAACAAGCTGTTTTTTTCCCCTAACTATGCAGAGATAACCTGGTATTACTAAATTCAAAACCTTGTGTTCTGATACTTTACGTGTGCAACATGAATGCCAGGGAGAATTCAGTAATCTATTGCACGATGGACAAAGTAGGGCTAAGAGAACCAACCACCAAGTGGCTGGTCTTGTCTACAGATGTTTCCCTGGGGGGAAGGAAGTGAAATTTAAATGGTAGGGAAGTAAGCACATTCCTTAGGGGTAGGAGAGCATGTGGTTTCACGGTAGGAAGCTCAGCCTTTCTGTCGGTTTTGGGATTGAGAAAGTTACTTTTATCCATGCTAGGTCTCAGATTCCTCACCTGAAACTAGCAGCAATAATGTGTACCTACATCAAGGGGGTGGTTGTAGGATTAAGTAAGGTAACACCTATATAGTGCTTAGAGTAGGACCTAGCACACACTAGGTACTACGAATAGTAGAACTATTGTTAGTAGTAGAAAGAGTGTGGGATTGCAAATTGGAGAGCCTGGGTGTTTGGGCTCGGCCACACATGAACTGAACTGTTCCTGTGGCATTTGAGAAGGGTGTTAGCTGCAATGAGATGCTCTCTGCCTCCCTTTAGGCTCTGTGGTGCTAAGTGGTAGAGAGAAAAACTGCATTTGCCTAGAAGATACCAGTTTTGATGCCTCCAGCTTGCAGCACATTTTCATAGGCTGGTGTCTCATAGACTCTGGTCTTCTTGTTTCCTATTCAAGGCCATTATCTTAGGTGCCTGGCTGGTGTGAGCATTGACCCACTCCAGTTTCTCATTTGCACTTTGAAGATAAAGTGAGCACAATGGCTGGGATCTTTTAAAGGGTCCAGATGTAAGTGACTAAAATAAGAGCTAGTGGTATTTGGGAAAATTGTTTTGCCTTTAAGTTTTCTATGAAACCCTAATTTGGGCCTTGAACCATGCCTAGGGGTCTGCTGGATTTGGAGGTGCAGTCATTGATATCTTATTCCTAAGGTGTCTGTACCCTTCCATTGTTCTGTCCCACCACCTCCAGCTTCAGTGTCTCCCAATGGGCCTCTCCTCTGTCTGACTTCTTGGTTACTTTTGGTCAATGGTGGGTACAAAGTAGGGCTCAGTTAATATGGCAAGAAGCAGAAGAGAGACAGAGCTGCAAAGACTACTGTGACTTTTTGGTTGCTTCTGTGTTCCTTCCTTTCTGAGACACCTGGTGCATAGATGGGAGGGTAGGGAAGTGACATGGAGAATGTGAGAATTGTCCCCTGAGGGGCTATAATTTGCCATAGCTGGGCTGCCTGACACCCCATCAGCAACGCCTGGCCCATAGTGCTTTCTACTCCTCTGACTCCAGTGTACCTTGACCCATGATCAGAGTCAACATTGTCTTGTAATTTCCTAGCCCTTGCCACCAATTCTGAATTGCCTGATGCATGTGGGGACAGGAAAAGAAAGAGACGACATCTTGAGGCTCCTGCTCTGTGATGGCACGAGGTACTCCATACACGCATATGATCTCAGTGTGAGACTTTGATATCATCTTGCCATTTGCATTTCATTTTGACGTATGTTCTGTATTCAAATAATTGCATTCTGTTTTCATCTTCCTCAGAGAATTTTTTATGAGGATTAGCAAAAAGATTCAAAGACAGAATGGAAAAAATTAGTTGATAATATTAAGACTTTCTTTATATCCAAATTTGATTTTAGTCTGTAGTTCCAACCTTTTTTTCCTAAGCTGCAATTATTAAATAAAGTGGAAATATTTATTTTTCACCTACTTTATGCCTCTCTAGTTAGTGAAAATGAATAAAGTCAGGGGAATAGCAAAAATCAGAGGCAAAGAGGCATATGACTGAGGAATAGTGAGAAAGTGACTTTATTATGAGGAAACATCTTAAAAATTCTGATAGCTTGCAAGAAAGATTTGTCATTAAGGAATTGACTTGCATAAATAAGCTCTTTTTGACTATAAGCACTACGAAGTTAGGGATAGATCTTTTTTTTTTTTCCATTANTGAGCATTGACCCACTCCAGTTTCTCATTTGCACTTTGAAGATAAAGTGAGCACAATGGCTGGGATCTTTTAAAGGGTCCAGATGTAAGTGACTAAAATAAGAGCTAGTGGTATTTGGGAAAATTGTTTTGCCTTTAAGTTTTCTATGAAACCCTAATTCGGGCCTTGAACCATGCCTAGGGGTCTGCTGGATTTGGAGGTGTAGTCGTTGATATCTTATTCCTAAGGTGACTGTACCCTTCCATTGTTCTGTCCCACCACCTCCAGCTTTAGCGTCTCTCAATGGGTCTCTCCCTTGTCTGACTCCTTGGTTACTTTTGGTCAATGGTGGGTACAAAGTAGGGCTCAGTTAATATGGCAAGAAGAAGAAAAAAGACAGAGCTGCAAAGACTGCTGTGACTTTTTGGTTGCTTCTGTGTTCCTTCCTTTCTGAGACACCTGGTGCATAGATAGGAGGGTAGGGAAGTGACATGGAGAATGTGAGAATTGTCCCCTGAGGGGCTATAATTTGCCATAGTTGTGCTGCCTATGCCCCATCAGCAATGCCTGGCCCGTAGTGCTTTCTACTCCTCTGACTCCAGTGTACCTTGACCCATGATCAGAGTCAACATTGTCTTATAATTTCCTAGCCCTTGCCACCAATTCTGAATTGCCTGATGCATGTGGGGACAGGAAAAGAAAGAGACGATGTCTTGAGGCTCCTGCTCTGTGATGGCACGAGGTACTCTATACACGCATATGATCTCAGTGTGAGACTTTGATATCATCTTGCCATTTGCATTTCATTTTGACAAATGTTCTGTATTTGAATAATTGCGTTGTGTTTTCATTTGTCCTAGAGAATTTTTATGAGGATTAGCAAAAAGATTCAAAGACAGAATGGAAAAAATTAGTTGATAATATTAAGACTTTCTTTATATCCAAATTTGATTTTAGTCTGTAGTTCCAACCTTTTTTCCCTAAGCTGCAATTATTAAATAAAGTGGAAATATTTATTTTTCACCTACTTTATGCCTCTCTAGTTAGTGAAAATGAATAAAGTCAGGGGAATAGCAAAAATCAGAAGCAAAGAGGCATATGACCCAGGAATAGTGAGAAAGTGACTTTATTATGAGGAAACATCTTAAAAATTCTGATAGCTTGCAAGAAAGATTTGTCATTAAGGAATTGACTTGCATAAATAAGCTCTTTTTGACTATAAGCACTACGAAGTTAGGGATAGATCTTTTTTTTTTTCCATTAAAAATGTCCAGCACCTTATGTGGTTCCAAGCACACCTGGGCATGCTAATTGTTGAATTAATAAAAGACCATATTATAAAATGAATGTGAACAAATTCATAGTTTGCTTATGTATCTATTGATAAAAGCAGTGATTCACGAACAATTTTAAAAAAGTGTTGTTGCTGAAGGGTAGATTTTTGTTGCTTTGAGTTTTTGAAAAAGAAATGGGAATTATAGCAAAAACTCAAAGAGGAACTAATTCAGGTGCATTCAATTGGAAATGGCTCAAAGGGTCATGATAAACGTTAACCAGATTAAGCAATATTAATAAGTAGAAGGGGCAGGACACAGTACATTGATGAACTGTTAACAATGTTAGGGAAGCTTTTGTAAAGTTAACTAGGAGACTAGCCAGGTAGCTCTGCATTGCCGTGTCCCTTTCAAATTGAAAGACACTAAGTTGCAGGTTAGGTTTGCTGATTTCTCAAACACTCCAAAGAAAGCAGCGAGCTCATGGATATATTCCAGGAATAATGTCAAATTATCGACTCGTAGTGTTCCAGAAGACATTAAAAGAGAAACAGCATAATAATTTCAAAGACTGCAATAGCTAGTTTCCCTCTAGCTATGAGTGCTTCATAAACATTTAAACATGAATGAAACATCCAGACCATTCTCTAATGTCCCTGATGATTTATTAGACATCTTTGATTATAGATGCTTTGTTCTCTGCATGGAATTTCCTATCAGGGAAAGCTTTTAAAAGTGTCAATTATTATAGTCAAAGAACAGCCCTCACTCAAAACCGTCCAGGTGGCTGGCCAAATAAAATCATTTTGAGGTCATTATTATGGAAATAACAATACACAGTCTTAATTAGTCACTAATTATGAGTCAATACTTAGTTTTTGGGAAAACATTGGAACCACAGCTGAGAAATATTGCAAACAGTTGCAAGAAGAGTTTTGTTGGTCTTTCACAGATGGTAGAATAAATTCACCTATTCCAGGAAATAGTATGATCATATACATGTTTGAGTTCATTGGGGTATTTATATAGGAGCACATACACACACATTCAAATACATGGAGGTAATGGGGTGGGAGCAAGGCAGTATTCCTCATTTAAACATTCATAACTGTGTAAATCTGTGAAGAATCATGTAACTGAGATAGCATCTCTTGCCAGAGACGGTAAAAGAGAAAAATAAACCAATCCGAGTTGTCCTCTCTCTCTGAGATTGAACGAACATTGGCGAAGGGGCTAAAATGTCCAAAAGATAGCTATCGAGAAGAAAGAACGAGTAAAGTACAGGCACCAGGGGATCTATATGT